TCGGCGTGGGAAATTGGGAAAAAAACACAGCATCCCACGAAACAATTAACACAAGATTTTTTTGTACCCCCCCCCCCTCCCACCCCTCAGCCTGATCCCAGCGTCTTGGTTGTAGTGTCGTGCACGTCCAACCCCCACCCCCGGGGTTTGTCCACTCGCTCGTGTTTGATCAGTCGTCCCCACCCCCTCCACCTGAGTGAGGAGACAGTGTGGCACTGCGGCCATTGTTGGTGTCGGTTCCCGGCATGGGAACTAGAGGTACTCACTCACCTGTTGATGGGGGGGGGGGGTGGGACACAGTAGTTAAATCAGGGGGTCGGGACACAGTAATCAAATCAGGGGGGAGGGTTGGGACAGTGATCAGACCGGGGTGGGGGTCGGGAAACTGTGGTCAAAACAAAACTACAACTTTGTGCATTACCAAGGAGCAACGCGCGCCTTCCTCTCACATCCACCGGTCGTTTACCAACACGGATTCGAACCCTCAACTTCCGCGTTTAAAAACCGATAATACAATCCCTCCGATCACATTCTTTTCGCGTTCCCGCAAAACTAATTTTAAAACAAAACATTCCAACACAAAAAACTTATTCGCCACTGACAAACAGCGCGGTATTAACTTCACATTCCCATTACAATATCAAACAGCATTACGATTTACATTTATATAAGAAAAAATCCACCCCCCTCCCCTTCTACCCATCATTCATCAACACAATACTCTTTGAGAATATTTCTACAGCACACAATCTATGCCCCATCAATCATCCCACTGTGGGTACACCAGGGCCGGTAACTCGTATCTTTTGTTTAAGTTTAACCAAGGGAGGCTACCACGTGAATATAAAATCAACCATTCCACCTAACCCCTCTCCTCTGTGTATACAGAACAATAAAAGCTCTTTTTTTTTTTAAAGTGTGTAAGACAAATCGTTCTCAGAAGTCCGTGTAAGACACATTTTAAAAATAAATCTGTGTGAAATTAATAAGTTTAAGATAGTCTTGTCTGAAACTAGTTTACAATGTCTGTGTAAAACACATTTTAAAAGGTGTGATCAAGACAAATTAAGAAAAATATTTTTTTAAAAGTCTGTGAAACACACAGTGTATGATTTAATTTTGTTTTCAGTGTACGATAATGAAGTTGAGCCACCCCACTCCCATCCTCACCCCCACCCCTTACCCCACTCCTACAGGTGTTTCTCCAGAGGTGTGTGTCGCCTTCCCTCCCCCCTACAAATGAAAATAAATGCTTTTAAAGCCATAGTTCCCCCCATTTGGTGTGGGGGGGGGGGGGTTGTCGAGGGTGTGTAATGATCCGCAAGAAGATGAATGGAAAAATTAAGGAAGACAGTTAAATTAGTACAAGATGGCGGAGATGGGGGAATACCGACGGTTTAAACTGAAGTTTTAAGTCTGGGGTATGTGTATGTATTCTATGACATGTGGGTGGGGGTATGTGAACATGTATCATACATATGGGTACATCATCAATTTACTTTCAGAGTTAAAGATCGTTTTGAAAATATACCTTTGCAGGTTTATGAAAGCAAATTTTGTGAATAGGTGTTAGCTGGTCATGATGAGACAAGGTTCGGCCTTAAATCACTCGTCAACCTGGTAGGTTTCTATCACGTGACGTCGACGTGAGTCTAGGCCAGTAACCTGCCTCAAATTGTTGATCTGCCCCCCCCCCCCCCATCTAGCCCCGACACCCCCACAAACACCAAACAGCTAGACCATTGACTTACAACGTTAACCCAAACACGAATGACCCTCCTAATTCAAACGCTATTTTAACCCTTTCAAAACATATGCAAGCTAAAATTGCATAATTAGCACCCCTCCCCCCACTCCAATCCCCCATCCTGCCTTCGACACGCATGACCTAACGCCATTTTGGATGTACCAGTAATTACACTTTAAATGCAGTCTAACATCGGGTTCTTAAAAACGTCTTATCAAAATGTTAACATTAAAATACGCAGAGAAAATATGCACCACTGGGGGTAGGGTGGGGGAGTGGATGGTTTGAATGGAATGGGGTGGGGGTAGGGTGGCAAGTGGGGTGAGGTTGAGGTGGGGGGGGGGGGGCGTGGTAGGTTATAAAAGAATGGTGCAGTGAAAATGAAATAAAATGCAAATTGTAATAAACCAAGGCTTTAAAGTTTTTAATAATAAAGAGACAAGATTTGGTTACACGAGTGTATGACAGGATGAAGGTTGGTGTAATGGTGTGTGGGTGTGTGTGGGTGGGGGGAGGTGGTTGGTTATGTGATATACAGAGGTTTTGTGAGGTGTTAATAAGTGTGTGTGTGTGTGTTGGTAAACGGGGGGGGGGGGGGTTTAGTGCATATGATATACAGTTTTATATAGGGGGAGGAGGCTAGTATATTAGTGATATACACGAACAGCTGTGAACAGAAAGGTATAATTGTGTGAGGTGTAAATAGGTGTATGTCTTGTTGTGTGTGTGTGTGGGGGGGGGGGGGGGGGTTAGTGCATATGATATACAGAGAGGTGATAGTTTTGTGAGATGTGAAATGGGGGGGGTAGTATATTTGTGATATACATGAACAGCTGTAAATATGAGCAGTGGGGTTGGGGCGGGGCTGTGCGGGTGGGAGAGAACTGACGTATCGCTCATCTCTGGTGTAACAAAAAACGTGAGGGTTTTTTTTTATAGTGAGAATATATGAGAGAATAGTTGAGGGGTGGGGGTGAACTGGGCATTGATGAAGCGCCGTACGGTGTGAGGGTGAAGAAGAGATAGATGGATGGAATGAGGTGGGGGGGGGGGGGATGAAGAAGAGATAGATGGACGGAATAAGAATACGGTTCCAGGCTATGGGAACAGACGTGTGGGGGAGATAAGAAGTGACGGTGGGGTGGGGTGACGGGGGGGGGGGGAAGCGTTGAAGGGAACAAGACATTATTAAAGTGCAGTATTGGATCTAAAGCCTTATCGAAGGAGTTGTGTGTTGGAAGAGTGGCAAGTTTCAAGGTATGGCAAGTTTCAAATCGGCAAGTTTTACTTGCTAAGATTCTAACCTGAACGTAATACCAATTTTTCTGACCCTAACTGTGATTCTAGCCCTATTCCATGTTTCTAACCGACATAAAAAAAACCTCGATTATCGCCATTTTTATACCAGTCATGCCTTTCCCGAAAATGTTTTTTTTCTAGAAATAAATTCTGAATATTTCCGTGCTATTTCTAGCAATTCCCGGATTAATATATCCAAGACTAAAAAGTACAAAAAATGTATTACAGAGCTCATGAACAGTAACCTAAACCTTAATCAAAGTTATCTCCCATGTCAATAATTGCTGGAGTTATCTTTCTTTTCAATGGTTATGTAAACCAAACCACAGCTGTGGGAAAATTCCGACACCTGTTTGAAAAACCTCAACCAATCCTAATTTTAAAAAATCAGATAATTAATTAAACGTCGACCGCCACTCCTTAACCAAAATGTTGTCGTCTACACAAAATACAACAACCCCTTTCTTCCATTTTAAACATCGTTTCATCTATCTTTCATTTTTTTATTTTAAAATCTACCTCCATACTACGTCACGAACTTAACCCCTCCAGTCCTATTGTGAACAATTTGTACCCAGCCTAACAACGCGTTCACACTACATCAGCACGTTATCATAAGCCGTCATCAAACCATAACACAGTCCCCCACCCCCACCCCGCAACACGTACACTGAGTATTTATTTAAAGAGAGGGAGAAAAAAAACCCAGTGTACCCCCTTTTCTAATGCAAATGAGCCTGTAAAATCCAGACCAAACCATCCAGCGTTAATGAAATATTAGATTACTGTCACGCCCTACCCTCTCCGCTTCATACCATTCACACCGCTACCCCATAGCTGGGGCACTGAAAGATATTTATTTACTTAGAAATTTCGGGGGCTGGGTGGTGAGGGGGAAGGGGGGAGGGGGGGGGGTGCCCAATGAACAAAAGAATGGTTTTGTTTAATAAAAGAAAACCGTGATGGTGGACCTTTCATAGTTTGATAGCGAAGGGGAAATAACTCTCAACTTTAGGAATTATTTCCCCTGAAATTTTTTTCTCCACATAAAGGTCAAGAAAAATATGGGGGAAAAATTAATTTAAAAACGAAATAAAAATATTTTTAAATGAAAGAAAAGTTATATAATTATGATAAAGAAAAAAAAAGAAAATCGAGTGCTAATTAATTAACTTCTAATGTGTTGATAAGGATATGGATTGTGTTACAGAGAAACACGAGCAAACTTAATTTAAATGCTAACTCTGATCACGATGTTAATTATGAACAAACTGTTACTCCTAAGTTTTTATACGGGCTGCGTATGACATTGTTTTCCCATTAAAGCTAAGTCTAGAATCTGACGGCTGAAACTTAGTTCAAACATGGCGTGTGTGTGTGTATATGTATGAGTGTGTGTGTGTATTAATGTGTGTGTGTGTGTGTGTGTATAGCCCAGATTCGAGTTACACTAGATGTCGTGATGTCAGACATTATGACGTTGATCCAGCAGGCAATTGTATATGTAACTTATGATATAATAATTTTCCATGATATATTGTCTATATATATATATATATATATATATATATATATATATATATATATATATATATATATATATATATATATATATATATATATATATATATATATATATATATATATAAATATATTATAATGGGGTTGTTATAAACGGAAAGGATATAAATACAAGGCATTATAAACGAAGGAGCTTTATAAAGTTTAAAGTGTACAAATAAAATTTTGTCTAGACAAAAATAAAGAATTTTTAAACAGACAGAATCTGATGGAACAATTATAGATGAGAATCCCGAAAACGTAGACAATTTAGTCTTACATTTAAGACAGACAAAAACGCGGACAATTTAGTCTTACATTTAAGACAGACAAAAACGCAGACAAATTAGTCTTACATTTAAGACAGACAAAAACACAGACAATTTAGTCTTACCTTTCATATGATGTAAAAATCCTTGTCGAGTGGGATCGGACTCTATAAAAAGAAACAAAAAGAGAAGGTTAGTGACTTGTGTGTAAGGTGTTGGTGCTAGTAGATTCAATGATTTGTAATAGAACTCAAGGTAGACTTGAAGGACTGCAGTAAGGTAATGGATGGACTGTGTCCAGTGTAGAAAGTTCCAGCACTCAGTTACATAAAACATAACCCTACACCACCCCCTTACATGTAACATAGCCCACCTACTACAGTAATGCTCATTTATTGCCCATCCACCACATAATTCATTGCCCATCCACTATATAATTCATTGTCCTTCCAACTTCTAATTCACTGCCCATCCAACATCTAATCCACTGCCCATCCAACATCTAATCCACTGCCCATCCAACATCTAATCCACTGCCCATCCAACATCTAATCCACTGCCCATCCAACATCTAATCCACTGCCCATCCAACATCTAATCCACTGCCTATCTAACATCTAATCCACTGCCCATCCACCATATAACTCGATGCCCATCCACCATATAATCCACTGCCCATCCAACATCTAATCCACTGCCCATCCACCATATAACTCGCTGCCCATCCACCATATAATCCACTGCCCATCCACCATATAATCCACTGCCCATCCAACATCTAATCCACTGCCCATCCAGCATGCCATCACAACTCTCATTATAAATGAAACAAAAAAAAACCTTAAGCTGACTCAAATGACACAATCTTGGAGAGCCACAAAGAAAAAGTCACTCTGCACAAACAACGACATCGGGTTATCTTTCCTTTGATTTGATGAAAGTTGTTTTTTTTAAACCATCGTTTGATTTGATTTTTTAAATGTTTGTCTTTAGGATCAAGTACAAGTAAATTATTCAACGATTATTTCTTTAAAAAAAATTAAGTGCTGTTGAAGATATTGGTTACATTTAGAGAGAGAGAGAGAGAGAGAGAGAGAGAGAGAGAGAGAGAATGTTGGGGGGGGGGGGGGTGATTGGAAGAAGAGTGGTTCAGGTGAGAGGGATCGCAACAGATGGTGAGGAAGAGTTGACAAACCACGTGAACGTCTTACGTTCGAATCTGAGTGGGATAGTAGCAGTTAAGTTTATGTACTACCAAATATGTGTACTACGACTTGGATGTTAGACCAGGGATGTGTACTACCTCGTACATGTACTACCAAGTATGTGTACACTCTCAGGTATATGTACGAACTAGAAATAAGAAGGTGCAACAGTTGATGTAAAATGAATCTCAACTAGATGTGCTCATTTCTTCTATCATCGTGAGGTGTCGCTTTGTAATACATTTTTCTTAGCAGTTATTTACAAGACGTTTATAACGAGATTATTTAATCTATAGCTGTGTATTGTCGTTATACATAAAACCTTAGTTAAGTTTAATGTTTGTATTTCAAGTTGAAGCCATCCCGAATACATTCAATAGACAAACCCAACAAATTCCCAATGTTCAAAGCTTTTTCTTCAAAAAACATGTTTTAGAATAGATTTAAAAATAACTTGCGGGAATTAGCAGCATTAATATAGCCAAGTGGTGGCAGGCCAATCGAGTGGTGGTGGGGGTGGAGGGGGCATGGGAGGGCTGCAATGCTCAATTTATTATGTTAAACTTGAGCTAAGTCTGGGTATTAAAAGTTTTAAACTGAATCTCGAATTGAAAGGGAGCCCCATTAAGGGCGACATAAATGAAACGAATATTTAATTTCATACTGTACAAGTGGGTTCAAGGGATGGGGTTGGGGGGAGGGGGGGGGCGATATGGTAATTAATTTCTCCAGTCAGCTCTGAGCCCTGCATACAATTACCTACCCCCCGACCCCTTACAACCCCCCGTCCCTACTTCCTCCTTTTAACCCGGAGAATTATCTTACAGTCGCTGATAAGCGTGGCTTTACCTGCCTGTCTACCTGCCTGTCAAGTACCCGCCTGCCTGACATCACCTGCAGGTCCGCTCTCTATTCTCTTATCATCTTGCCCGGCCATTCACGGGGGTGGGGGGGGGGGGGTGAGGGGGGTGAATCATTTTCCCGACAATCGAGGGACATAATTTTCCCGGTCATCATAAAAAAAAAAAAAAAAACCCCGCACCATCGAAAAATAAATAAATTGGGCGTTGACCGCACTCCTTTCATTACCCCCCCCCACCCCTCAGATTTCTAGTCACTTGAGACTACCCCACACACTAACAATGTAAATGACTGCGTGGCCTTCGGTAGACGCCATTAACCAGTAGCGAGCCTATGGTGGGGACGAACTTTTAACCTCCTCTGTTGCCTCACTTTTTTTTAAAATTAATTTAACACCCTACCCAACCCTCCTCTTTATTATTTTAATACCCCCCACCCCCACCCTCCCCCCCAACCGAGTTGTGACAAAACCACTCGACCGTGACGCGACAGAAGAAAAAAAAAAATCCTCCAACCTTTCTCCACTGCGCCCCGGCCACTATGAACCAGCGCCATAGCATTCCCCAGCGCCACCGAGGTCTTCTAGATTTCGTCCATTATAAAAGCCTCGCCACTTTTCTCTCATTAACAATTTTCTCTCCCCCCCCCCCCTACTCAAGTCCGGTTCTAGTGAAGATTTGAATGTTTAAAGGTAAGTCTTCTGAAAAGCTTTGACACAGGAGAGAAAGGGGGGGGGGGGGGGGGGGGGAACGGGGGACACATGTAATGAAAACCTCCTTCAACTAGATTATAAACAAGCGCTGATTAAATAGGAGGGGGTGGGGGTTGTATGGTAGGGGGGGGGGGGTAGTTATACTTAAGAAAAAAGGGGTACGGTGAGGCGCGGGGTTTAATTTCATTTTTTCATAATAAATTCAATACCGGGATCTTCCTTAAAATGAGAACATTTGTATACACCTGAATTCTAATGTGAACAGTATACTTTTATTAAAATAGATGTGTTTTTTTTTCCTCAACCTTAATACTATCCATAATTTTAAAACAGACTTTAGAGTCGAGAGAATTTATGATTGCCTCTATGAAGGTCATAATGGTATCTTAAGATCCGGTACCTCTGGCTAGCTATAATTAGCTCTAGCTAGCACGAACCAGCTCCGGGTAGCTGTAATTAGCTCTGGCTAGCTCGAACCAGCTTCGGGTAGCTGTAATTAGCTCTAGCTAGCACGAACCAGCTCCGGGTAGCTGTAATTAGCTCTGGCTAGCTTTCACTTGCTCTGAATAGATTAACCAGCATAGTTAAGCTCTTTGTTGCTTCCATTGTTTTACCAAAAATATTAAATTTTAAAAAGTGGCTCATAAATTCATTAATTAGACATCTTTAATGTACAACCCAAACGAGTTATTTGGTATCTGTGATTTCTGTGTGCGTCTGAAACTATAGCCGAGTTGCTGGCCTGTTATTTTTGTAAGGGCCGGCAACTCTAGACCACATTTCGATCTGACAGCCCCGTTTGTTTGAAACGAAATACTTTTATGACTTATCAGATTAGGAGAGTGGGCTCTAACAAAGGTGAAATTATACAAATAGCTCCAGCCAAGTATACTAGACCAGTGGTCCTCAAAATGGCGGATTGGACACCGTGGTTTCTTCTCAGGCGGTGACTAGAGCATATAGGGTGGCGGTGTTTTAATGATGGCGTTTTCGCCGTTGAGATCCAACCCCCCCCCCCCCTCTCCTCCAAACAGTCAGATGTGAGAGACTTAAGCAACTATAAATAAGTATTGCCGGCAATAATGATTTATCCCAATCCTAACAGTAGTCCTTATAATTTTAAGTTAACCTAGCCGTAGTCCTTAAATTTTAAGTTAACCTAGCCGTAGCCCTTAAATTTTAAGTTAACCTAATCGTAGACCTTAAATTAAACTTAACCCGAATGAGGACAGAAAGGGAGAATTAAACTGTAAAGTACCAAAGCAAGCAACAAAAAATGAAGAACTGTCGTAACAATCCTGTGTACGCCAAGATTAAAATATTGAGAACTACAATACAAGTGTAATCGTGTTTTTTGTTTTTTAAAAGCATGGTTTATTTATGGGTGTGTTGAATGTTTCTACGATGATCAACTTTCCAGTTGCGTATACATTCTGAATACACTTCACATGTCAACTAACAAAACAAACACACGTACACACATATACAAACGCGATGAAATGCGCACGAACACACATCCCCAACAACGGGAAAATCCGGTCAAAATAAAACCCTTCAAAGCTATGTTCAATTAAAATTTCAAAACTTAATGAAAAATTATCTCCCCCCACCCATTACCCCCTCCACTATGGTGGAAGACACACAATACGAAATGCAAACAAGTGTCGCCTCAATTTTCAGCTTTAGAAAATATACAAAGTAAACAAAACGTGGAGATAAGGTCGCCTGGATAGGGGGGGGGGGGAGAAGGTGATTAGGCCGCGCCCCTAAAACCCCAGGTAAATTAATAAAGGTGAACTAACATGGCCGTGTTATCTGGGGGTCCTATAGGGGACCTGGTGTGATACCAGGGCAATGGGGGTCGGTTTGGGGTCGTTGGGGAGGTGGGGGTGTTGTGGTGTACACGGAGGGGTGGGTGGGGGTGTTAAGGTAAGTCTCCTGACAAGATGATTTAGGCCTAAATGCTATACGCAATTAATAATCGAGATTAACAAAAAGTTAGGCACGCCATATTTTATGGTTCAAAAGTAAACGATCTTTAACGATCGTTGCCTACGCATAAAGGCCGAGAGATAACAATCTCAGACGGTGTATGTTGTATGTAATCCCGCCCCTACACTCAGGCTAACTTATAATCACATACATCATGTAGCCCCACCATACGATTTGAACTGTATGATTAAGTGAAGGGAATTGTTTAAATTCAGCCGTGACTGTAAACACTCTTTCCTTGAATGTTAACAATTTTTCCTTAAATGTTAACAATTTTTCCTTAAATGTTAACAATTTTTCCTCGACTGTTAACAATTTTTCCTTGACTGTTAACAATTTTTCCTTGTTTGTTAACATTTTTTCCTAATCTATTAACAATTTTTCTTTGACTGTTAAC